TCATAATCTATTAGAAGCAGCAATGCACTTATCAACATAAGACAATATAAATTCATTTTTTCAGGTGATAGATGAGGTTATTGCTGACTCAGTAGAATTCAAGAGAAAATAAATGTTTAACAGCGGAATCATTGCGGTGATACCCTGACCTTTTCTAGCAGTTTGATAAAAAAGGAGAGGTAATGGCAATAGGCCTATGATCTATAGGATTATCAATTCCTCACTTTTCTCACTATATATATTTAACGTTTCACGATTTCCTTTAAATTGGTTGTATATTAGGAAAAATGGATTTATGGAAAAGTGTCTTTAATGGTAGGTTAAGAGAAGATAACAGTTTTGGACTATTATAGGTCATTGATGATTTTAATTTGATCTTTTGACAATTTTCTGTATTACATATATATATCGTTAATATAAAGACAACTAAGGGGAGGTAAATCCAGTTAAAAAAATCATCTACAGAGATAGATAAGGAAGTAACAAGTAATATTGAGAGCTTCGGCTTTGTCAAGAGGATGGATTAATAGAATATTTCATTCCCTTTGGGGTGAGACAGGGGGATCTCAACCCGAGGGGGATTATTAAGTTGTCAAACACGAGGCTTGCCGAGTAAACAAAAACTTGTAGTTAACGTATGAATATGGTGACGAGGCCGTCTCAACCGCGTCACACTTAATTGTGATATCCCGCACAAAATATAATTTCCATTAACGGTACAGTAAAACATAAAAAGGCATAATATTAATAATAAAAAAACAATTTTAATGTGAAAGTATGAATGAGATGACTTCAATATATACACAAAATCAACACATATTATTAAATCGTTATTTTACAATAACAGAATCTTCCCCTACCCTGAGGGTGTGATAGAGAAATCTCCAACCCGAGGGGTGATTTTTGTTGTTGTATAACCGAGGCTCTGCCGAGGGTTAGACTACAAAAAAATCACCCCGAGGGTTGGAGATTTCTCTGTCACATCCTCTGAGGGTAGGGAATGATTAATTTTCTCTCACCCCATTAATTCTGCCACGACGTAAAAAAAAATCCCACGGTACAAGTGTCTGAATGGCGCATGAATATCACCATTCACGTTTCCAAAATTCCACATTCTTCCGCGAGAGCAGAATGACAGACTACAAACGCAATATGAATAACCATTAGAATTATTAATTTTTTTGAAATTAAATATTTTAATTAGAGATAGATACATGGAAATACTTGTATTAAACAACATTTAACTCTGTATCATTTATTAAGGTAGGGTAGGCTTGCCGCGATGTCATGGACAAAAAGGGGATTTCCCAGTTAATAATGACGTCAATTGTTTATGCGCGCGAAAAATTGCAATGGTGTGAGTGTCACGCGTGTGTTCATTCAGAATCAGAGTCATAGATGATCCTCCGACGTTTATTTGTGTTAACTGGACAAGGATTGATATAGTTAATGTTACCCGTGATGTTACAGTCGCGCATTACGGAACCTGCAAACAAAGCATCCACTCGTCGGTTTGAGTAAGTTGTGATAGCCGACTGAGGTCACCGAGTGCAGTCATGTGGGATAGATTTATCCTCCATGGGCGTTCCACATGGGACATGTCTATCCTACATGGGCAGAGGTGGGAGAAAGCAAAATCTCACACCGGTAAAAACTGTGGATATCCCTGTCCGGGGTAAGAGAAAATTATATTCTGTAGTTCATTACGTTCACTTATGATTAAGCCAGTCTATCCTTACCAGCATTTCCAGCTATTTTATACAACTTATGTTTCCCTCAGATTAGATCTTATTGAATTTGCTATCCGAAGCTTTTCATTCGGGCGGATTCTAGTAGCTTTGGATGGTGTGTGGCTATGGTAAATTCTTCATTTTATCAATGATTTTTTATTAATTTCATCAATATTATTCTCTTGTTCTATAGTATTTTCCCAATCCACCAAGTATTAGATCCCATCTTGGCTCTTTAAACTGAGAAATGGTGCTGTTATTTCAGTACTTTTAAGCTACATTTGAGGGATTATTCACACAGAGATATCAATATAAGAATGTGTTTTTCATATTTTTGTAGGTAACTGAATTACTTTCTCCAAGTGGAATTGTAAAGAATTTTAGTAAGTCATCGTATTGCAATATTGAGTCATCAAAATCGATCACCACCTCATGACGTAAACCGTTATACCACCGGAACCGGAAGTGAGCTGTCCGACCACTCAATTATTGAATGCTGTGTTAACATTCCAGGCCCACTCTAAATAAAGATTTGCTTTTCATTTACAACAAAAGTAATTTACTGTTATTTTTATATGACGATGATGCTGTAGGAGAACATCGTCTAAATTTGACTCTGATAATATATGAACTTTAACATAAACATGATATTAAACTACTAATGATCATTCCCTAATTAGGGATGATATGGGAAGAAAGCAGTAAACCTTATTGAACACATGATTTAAGTGTTCACTTGTTCATCCGCTCTAAAAGTAAGAGAGAATGGCTACGTTTTAATGGTCCATTTCGGGAAGGCGTCACGCAAGAGAATGATCCATACAGAATAGAAAAAATTATATCTATATAGCTCTTTATATTAAGCATCCAAACGGAATGAACGTTTCGATTTGTATAAGAACTCCCGGCGAGGACTGTGGCAGAAAATGTATAAAATTGGGTGCTCGGAATCGACGGGAAAATATTATTCTCACAAAGCTTTAGGTTTTAATGGTAATTTAATCACACTCCAACAGAAATTTTATCAGTGCAGTGTGATTCTTATAGAGATCTATGCAACGGATGATGACATTAACTTTACTGAAGTAAACTTTAATAAACCATTCGTTACACCAATACAACCAGTATAAAAATAATGATAAAGTTAATAATATTCTTGTATTGATGATATTCAGAGCTCGGTGTTAACAAACCCAGCACGTGTACAGATTCTATTTTAAAATGGAAGATTATGTTTTATTCATGGCCAGTTACCAGATATTTGGGGACATAGTATAAATTTAGGCGTAATCAGGAGCGGCATTAATTACAACTACCGTTATGTCACATTAGCGAAAAATAAGACAAATCGTGTCCATTGTCTTTTAAGACTAAGATATTTCACGTATATTTTTCCGGAGGAACTAAATTTAGAGCAGCATTTTGCATTATTGTCACAAAACGTTATTTTCATTCGATGGAAACTATAATATAATTGATCCATTCGATATCGAACCTGTGCTTCTTTAACCAAAATTAAAATATACGTTTTCAATTAACCGTGACATATTTGTTCAATTAATCAATAAATTACTGATTATTATTTATACCAGAGACCATGTTTTACCACAGATATTGCAACGTTTAGTGGTCTTAACATATTTTTATCTTACATTGTCTATTAACCGGTAGAAATCGGTCACAGAAACAACGTGCACGTTTTGTTAATTACATGGCGCGTCTCTTGACACATCATAGTATTCTATAAACAAAAGCTATACTAGATAATTACATTCTGGTTTGTCTAGTCCCCCTGGTGCAAAAAAATTTAACTTGACACGTAAATATATTCTGCAATTCTCTGACACAATAACAACTTAATTGATAAGTGGCCTTCAAGCTGAAGGCGTGTTATCACGTTCCATTATATATTCTATAACAACACGTTTTTAATATTCATAGATGTGACAGCAACTTACCTCGATTCTCTATGGTATAACCATTCTCTAATAACCCCGGTGTAAATTAATCATTGTATGGGTTTTAATTAGCAAAGTCAATTATGTTTATTTGAATTATATATGCTAAATGTCGAAAAAAACATCTGTTATGAATTAAAATTTTGTATTTACGTATCTACGTATGAACGCATGCAAGCAATGATTTCCTTTGAGAGTTTTTAGCCAGGACTCTGATGTTGATGATTTCTTGTATTACTTTCCGAAAACGTTTGCATGATATAGGAAGAGGAAAAAACACAACTTGTTTATGGTATTCTACCCTGTCGTTGATTTAAGCAAATTAATTTATAACTTCAATGTGATCAGGGTCTCCCGGTTTTTTTCTTTTCATTCTTGTTTGCATACACAAGATACCTTAATGAAAGAACGGATTAAGAAAATATACATTTCTGTTCATGAATAACGACCCTTCCGTAAAAACACATATGTACGTTATTCGATAGAATAAAATACGATATATAGCAAACTGAGGGAAAACGGATCCTTGATATAAAAAAAAACCCACCTTCGACAAATCGAGGACAAAATGTAAAACAAAATATGGTTTACATGGAGACACCAAAGAGGAAAAAAAGACACTGAGAACAGATCTTTTTTCAGCAATAATTTCCTGCCTTACGGACAACACACGTTAATCGAAGTCAAATTTAAGAAACTGTATATTGAATATATGGATCATGTAATATCTTAAATTGATTATAACGGCGCGAATGGTCTTTGAAATGAAAAAAAAATATACATGCGGTTTTATTTTACATACATCTAGCTGCTTCAAATTTTATCTCAGGTTGGAGCAAATGTGTTTTTGATTAGCAGTTCGAAGCTCGGACAAAACTAAACGGAAACACTTATATGTCAGCATAATCATAATCCAAACTCCTATTCAATGAAACCAGGACAAAATATCAACAAAAGAAAGATTTACATGAACACACATGAGTAATGTTCATGTTCCCAATTGAGGACCAACAGTTTACATTCTAGCATCAAACACACCCAACGTAATACTGCACAAGAGAATAGAATAAAATCCAAATAAAATCCTGATCATTTCCATCAACCTGAAACCCTGTGTCATAAGTTTGTGTGTCAGTTGCCGACATATTGCACGGAAATCATGACACTGACAACAAACCCTAGAATATCAAAATCAACTGCGGAATATGGCTTCATTCTGTCTTTCATTTCTGTTTTATCACTTCCGTCGTCAATGTCTATGGATTTTCCACACATGGCGTATGTGTTCATATAGAAAAGCAAAACACACCCATCATCTACGATTCTGGTAAAGAGTTGCTAGATCCATTGCTATGATGCTTCCAAACACAACACAAATAACGATAATACCTACAGCACCTATACTGGCTGAGGATGTCCTCTCGTCCCAGGCACTGTTAAGAGTACGAAGGTAATGGGATGTGGCTTTCTTTGAAACTCTAAGAGAGTTTTTTATTTTGTTCATCATCGCTAACAGCTGCTCACGAGAAGGAGGATCTGAAGTCGGCAATGTTTTACAACAGGAACAGTTTAGTAAACCTTTTTTACCGTCAACTGCTGCAGTAGTGGTTGATGAAACGTTTCTCGCAGAAGTGACGTCTGGGTGGAAAGACGTAGATGGGAAGGTTTCTGTTGTCATCGTCTGAGTTAACGTCTCTGAAAGAAGACAGTCAAATTGTTGAAAGAGATATTGCTTTTCAAGAAATTGCTCTTGCTTTGTTCAATGATGCGACATGACATAGAATAGAAACCATCTCTGTTGGAAACGCCGTTGTAAAGCTTCCTTTCCAAAGGCAAGAATGATATTTATCACGCGGTAAAATATAACAGTAGAATGAAATTTTTCAAGGGAAACCCATTATGCTTTACTACAGTATAAACTTTCAAAGGACATCAGTTTCAAATAAATGGTACGTAAAACTATGGATGGAATCGATTAATTGTATTATAACCCTATTTGCGAATGAACACAATCCTGCACGTCAAATGTTTGTCGATAAACCACAAAAATCAAATGAAGACCAAAGGTTTGTGTATGCAAACCATCAAGAAAATACCAACATGGCAACATAACCGTAATCGAAACTCAAATTCACTAAAACTAGGGCAAAACATGAACGGAGACTCAATGAGAATAAGACCAGGTATTCCGGAAAGCATTACAAAAAAACACTCGCTAAAGCTCGTGTTTTGTAACTTTTGATAAATAACTTACTCGAGTGAAATAAATGCCATGAACAGCAACATCTCGTTGAGTGTTCTCTCTATATAAAACCTTAATATTTACAATGAACTCTGTGGGCGACTTGAATAAGAGGTACAAAAGGAAAGGGCGAATATCACTTTGCAATGAGTTAGATACAGAATTACCAAATATTGGATTAAACTGATATTATACGTCTGTTTTGTCCCTAGACAGATCCTTATGGTAAATGTATGGCCAAAAATAAAAACATAATATATGAAAAATTCCATAAATACCTGTTGTTGAACCATCTGTATCTGTTGTCGAAGAGTATAACTGGGAAAAAAGGAAACAGATATATGATAATTTCGTTGATAAATCATCAATTTTCATCATCCAAACACAAACATGATTTTGCGAAATGTACATACATGTACAACAGAATTTTAAATCTAATATTTCACCACTTGCAGAGTAGGAAATAAATTTCTAGCGAAAAGCATCCATTGATTAATCCAGCAGCTGTATGATATTATACCACAGGTGCTGTAACACTTTAAATATCGTGTTTTGATTGAATGACAGGGTGAACTTTTACCGAAGGAGTGTTAATGTCCTTGTTTTCTTTACAGATAACAAATTCATTTCTAGTTACAATTCACGAAAAGTCATGATATTTTTTAAATTGCCAGTTTTGTATTCTAATTTGTGATATTTCACTAAAGGTAACATAACGCCCCAACTGTTGATATGTAAATGTAAATCATACTTCAGAATAGATTAGTTTTTTTTAAATGGTAGGAGCATTTCACGAAAACTCGTTGTTGTTACAGAAGATTTTTCTTTAACTGTCGTTCATGCTCGTGTTTTATTTAGTTTTTAACTTTTGAAAAATACTTCAAGTGAGTTGTATAACCTCTTTTTACCTTGCGAAGCCAGTTGTTAGGCACTGACAACACAAAAACTGGGTCACTAACGTTATATAAGCAGATGTTAGTAGATATAATGAAGCATTTTATTAATACATACATATATATATACAAATCGTCACATTTTTGCAATATCACAACTTTAAGAGGATAAAAAGAAACCAAGATGAATAATATATTGATCAGAAAGAGTTCTCTTTACCTGTGGTTCGTTTAAAGTCACATTTCCAAGACCAATTGTTAATGCTGTCATCGATATTTCCTGTTCGCATATCACGTGGCCACCAAATGGAGACGTATGATGAATTTCTACGACGCCGGAATGTAATCTCTTTAACCATGCTGTCGAGTAAACAGAGTTTTGTATTTCTTTCCAGTTGTTAAATTGGCTGCTAAACTTGGCTAAATCGAATGTAAGAGTATGAACCGTTTCCATCACTAGTGCCAAGGCACAGTTCTTGAATCCCGGTGGAATGTAAACAGCATATTCACTGACATACTGGGAAATTGGAGTTGGGAAGAACATCGCAGGATCACCATTGGGGACTGCAACAGGAAAATGAGCAACGAGGACTGGTACATCCGATCGTACGTGAATTCTTTGACACGTTAAATTATACAAGAAGGTTTGAGAATCTGGAATGTGCTGATAAACAGTTGACCCACATCCAAATATTGAAACGTTAGCGCCATCATCTGCTGTACCAATTTTTACATACTCGCGTTCAAACTCAGTCACCCTCCTTCGAACGATAATATAATCAGTCCCCCATGCCGCTATAGGGGGTACGATATCCGCTAAGTGATCACGATTGTAACCATTCTGTACCCTAGTGAACACGCAACCAGATAAAACGGAAAAACGTTTTCCATTTGTTGACAGAATCTTTACGCCACTTAAATCAGACATTGATTGGATTTGAAAAGTCTGTGATTTTTCTAGGGTCATTGAAATGACCTCACCAGGGCTATAGTTCGTTCCAATAAATACATCAGAAGGGACGAAATATCCAGGAAACGTTACTTCAATTAGTGTGTTGTCCTCGGTAGCTGTAATGGCAAATTGGCAAATTCGATCTATATCACAGTATGTAATAATAAAATATTCTGTACCAAGTTGTGTAGCGTTCCTAGCAAAGAACATATCGCCACTGTTTAAAGCTGCTGAAAGTCCGATCACAATAAGATCAGTATCATTCGACCGGATGAGAATACTTTTAGCACTTTTGCCTGTTCCATCTATTTCGAAGTTTGTAGTGGTCACTTTCGTTACAGAGACGTTTTTCGCTTCCACTAGTTGGTGCCTCGTTGTGAATGTTGGCACGCCAGGAGCAGATATTTCCACCAATACCACATTGTCTGATGGATTGACGAGATTTACATACAACTCCACATCTCTACCATCGTTCTTTGAAAAAACTATTGTTGTATCCATGGTGACACCTACAGAAAAAAATGAGAAAAACCTATTTATCATTATATATGAGAAATTATTCTGTTTCTTTTCATTTTTAAAAGTTTCCAAAATTTAAATCACTTATCTTACAAACGTCATGCTGAATTCGACCATTGTATTAAGATTTGCTACGATAAAAACAGGTGATGCATCTGGGGAAACGATGATGTTTTATCAGTGTCTTTCCGAAGGTGTTAAAAACTATTTTGCTTGTCATATTAAGCTACAAAACGTTTGGCCGAAAAAAATCTCCGAAAAGATAGATTATGAATAACACAAAAACATGAGCGATTAACGAACAGATATTGCTCATATACAACTAGATTATGTCACTCACCGTAACACAAGCAACCACACAGTAAAGTTAATATCCTCAGTCGCATTTCCATCGTCAGTCAAGTTCTCTGTTAAAAAAATCAATAAAATAATACCCAAACCAAACTGGAAATATATATATATATATATTCTGTTAATGTCATATTAAATTTGATATAGACCAACCCAATTCTTGAGGACACTCTGCTGAAAATATAAAGGATTTGATATCCCTTCATACACCATCAAAATTCTTCAAAAAAAATCATGTATAGAAAATGACAAATCAAAACATGTTGGAAAGGTTGTTTTTATTGATAGTTAAATTTTCACGGTTTACAAAAAGCCTCAGGAAACATGAGGTATGTGGGCCTTTAACGTTCATCTGACTATGTAAGACCTGTAAATGATTAAAGAGCAACAGTGGTAGTATGAAAAACTATAAAGGATTCAAACTATTCTACAGTTCAGCAGTTGCGATAATGAAAACAATACAGATCAGTCCATTTCATCCACATTCCCAAACCCTTTTTTTTCATCGGAGAAACTGGAGGGGTTAAATGTGTGTTTTTCGAGATGGCGATAATGGCGGCCATATTGAATATTGAACCGACCCACAAAATACACGAAGCACCCTCGCAAGGTCATTCATGGCAAGTTTCAGATCAATCACAAGTGTGAAACTTAAGTTTAAACTATGTATGTTCAAGTCAACCATAATTGCGCAATCATGCTACAAATTGGTCTCCGTTGCTGTTTTGACGAGGCCTAAAATAAAAAAACATTTTGTTGGCTTCCTTTCCTTAACATCCCTACCAATTTTTAGCTAAACCCCCAAAAACCAATTTGGAAAGTTACAACTTATTTACACCGGTGGAACTGGAGAAAAAGTTTAATGTGTTTAAATACGATGGATATAGGTCATCCTGACCAAAGGTATAACGAATAGATAAATCTTTGAGGCACTTTGTCCAGGAATTTTTCCCCATATTCTATTACTGTATATGTACAGTTAAACACAAATCATCAAAATAGTAACACCATATCTATATCGTTGAAAAAAAAAGAATATGGTATCGGCCGATGTATGGTGCTTTTTTCTGAAAACGTACATGTATATTACAAATTAATGTCTTGCAATCGTTAAGTTATATATACAATCAATGTAATATTGTCAGGGCAATTAATTATAAGAAAATGAAATATACTTACTCCTCTAAGCCTCTGGACGGTCTTTAACAGACCAGAATTAAAAGGATAACACACTAGTGATGGTAACTGTTGTGAGACTTTACTCTCTTGTTATTATATTTTAAATTGTTTACCGCAAACAATTACCCAATGGTAACTTAAAACGAAAAATCAATAGTGTTAAAGGCACCACTTATTGCTCAGCTCCACACCTTTTATCATCTGTGTCTACGTCCTAGGCACTATGTGCTGTGTCGGTGTTTTACAAGGATAACCATGCATAACGTTACAATTACTGATAGGCTCTTTGTTTTTATGTTGATTGTCTCGTCATTTAATGGGGAAAGAGTTCCACAGTTTGGTATGGTAATTGGTAAGATAAAGGACAAATATTTTCTCAATCAACACATGTTCTGGAGACAAGAACTCAACTTCCAATGGTGCGCCAGCCAAAACATCGGATGCGATAACTCATGTGTAGATTCAATGTGTAGTTACATAGCTGTGAACAGCAAGATAGTCTACCATGGATGCTTATGAAATATTTCATTTCATAATATTTTATTGTCTTGATATTGGTGTCAAATGGAACTGGGCAAAAGGCAGAGCCTATGAAAGCCCTCTCCATACAACTTAAACAAGTACACAGACGCATCAATCAAAATTTAAGATATTAAATAATAATGATAGCATTCCAGGAAAAGAATTTAGAATATAGATTCAGTTGAATAATTATCTAACATAAATGTTAGGCAAGCATTATCATCATTTAAATTATAGTGTTAAAGAATAGTAAGATTAGATAGGTAATATAATTATATATAACAAGATGGAGTCAAAGTTTGTCAATTTATCACGGCACAGGCTGCAGGTTCAAACAGTCCATATATCCACAATCCTGAGCCGAGTCCGTAAAAATTGATAGGCGGACCAAGCTTAAGATAACAAATTCAAATTAAAAATAGAAAAAAAATGTAAATATAAGAATACTAAGGCTAAAAAAGGCGACCGGTATCAGTTATGAATCTCTGAACCAAATCAAGAATAGACTTATTTATATTTGCATCAAGTGTATGAGATCCTTTAAGAAATGTATCAGTGGTAAGAGGTATAGAATCACTAAGAGTAGAAAGAGAATTAAGGAGGAGTTGTCTTTGGATAGTAAAGAAGGGACAATGGAAAAAGAAGTGAGTAGGATCTTCAACTGGGTGGCCACAAGTACAGGCAGGGTTGTCATTAAGGTGGGAATTAAATAAGTCAAAATTTAGATTACTTGCAGAGTTTCTTAGTTGACACAAGATTATGTTTGCCTTTCTATTACCGTAACATTTAAAAGTATCAGTGCATTGTAAAAGAGGATTGATAACAGGCTGTGACAAAAATGTTTTTTTTATTGCATAAATGGATGTCAATGAGGGAAACAGACAGGATGGGTCGTTCCATTCAGTCATGAGTTTTGGAAAGAAACTAGTGCTATATTGACGAGTTCTTGCAAGTGGCACATCAAACAACCTATTGTGTCGAAGAGGATAATGAACAGTATTAATGTTGATAAAAGGCTGGATAGAATCAGTTACATGAGGAGGGCATCTGTTATTTAAAATAGTTTTAAAAAATGGATATTTTGATGTAGGTTTAGCTAATGGTATTAATCTAGACTCATTATAAAGGATAGCATGACAGGTGCCACGTCTCAAACCAGTGATAATGTGTATTGCCTCTAATTGAACTGATTCTAAGATGTTGCATTCCCTTTCTGTGCAGTTAGACCAAACAATTTCAGCATATTCTAAAATAGGACGAATAAATGTAATATATATTAGTTCAAGTGACTTTCTGTCAATTTTGTACTTTAACATTCTAAGAATATTTATTCGTTTATAAGCTTTCTCATACATAAAGCTTATGTGATTGGACCGATTAGCATGACTGTTAAAAATTAGACCCAGGTGCTTATGACAGGTAACATTTTTGATAACTGAGTTATTAAAATACAGATTTGGATGCAACATTTCAGAATCTATTCGCCTAGAAAAAAGAAGGGATTCAGTCTTATCCGGATTAAAAATCATACCCCACCTATTGGCTCATCTAGAAATTTTTTTGGAGATCATCATTTAATAAATCAGCCGCATCTTGCCTGTTACCCTCAGTTAAGCCATATAAAGATGTGTCATCAGCAAATAATTTCACATTAGATAGTAAATCATCACCAATATCATTAATATATAATAAGAACAGATAAGGACCCCAGCCTGTAATGTTTTCCAGTTGGACTTGTACCCATCTAGGATCACTCTCTGTTTCCTGTCAGATAAATAAGATGAAAACCACTTTAACATGTTATTACTAATACCATATTTTTTTCAATTTGTAAATTAATCCATCATGCCAAACTCTATCAAACGCTTTGCTAATATCACAAAATATCATTCTTGCTTCTTTACCTTTATCCAAATGTTTAATAATTTCATCATATATAATTAAAAGTTGATTAACAGTAGAATCTTTTGGTAAGAAACCTGATTGGTTTTGTAACGTAGGACGAGCGTCGAGTAGTTACCAGGGAGAAGAAAACAATGCAAATATTCAATTAACAATTTATTTACAACGCAAACGAAACACACACACACTCATTCACCCGGTTTCACACAAATACTGAAATACACTACAAAGTTCCAATATGCAGACGATCACAGTCACTGGTCCCACAGAGGAAACGTCTACAAACACTGGTTTCCACAGAGGAAAACTCGTCTAGGAATACGCAGTTCCAAACAATATAGTATGTCACTCTTTCCAGAACCCAACAGCGGCGACTCTCTAGTTGCAACGCTTGCGACCTGTCCTGGTGTTCCACATAGTTGGCTGACCTAACTGTACCAAGGTCCTGGTGCCGTCACTTAATAGTGAACGAGATGCACATAGCTCGTGATGTCCTCAAGGTCTGTCCTGGCGTTCTAGTGAGTTGGCTGACCTTACTGTCAAAAGGTCCTGGTGCCGTCACTTACTAGTAACTGACCCTGGCTGAGGTACTTCTAAAGCTGAGGTTGTGACCGTCATATTGAGCACAGTCTGTAATCTGTCATGAATTCCCACTCACCTGGTCACCCCACAAGATACGGTGGCCCGACAGGAACGACGAAAACACCGTACATACACAAACAATAAATATATACATACGACGTGACAGGTTTCTTGAGATAATATTGTATCTTGAAAGATAGTTATACAAATATTTGAAAACAATTTTCTCAAGGATTTTACTGAAGATTGGAGTAACAGAGATTGGCCTATAGTTTGAGGGGTCACTTTTTCCTTCTTTCCCTTTATATACAGGTGTTACATGGGCATTTTTGCAGGAGGTAGGAAGTACACTTGCAGAGATAGATTTATTAAATATGATAGAGAGAGGTTTAACAAGGGATTGAGAAACTTCTTTTATGAATTAGGGAGGGATGGCATCAGGGCCTGCAGGTTTGTTAGTATTTGGAAGCTGAAGTTGGTCAATAATGTCCTGTTCATTTATGTCGATAGAAGAGAAGTTAATAATTGGTGGGGGATAGTCAGGCGGTAAATCATCAGCATCCTTGTCTGTCGCTGAAATAGATGTGCAGTAATCATTGAAAGACTCAGCTTTATCTAGAGGATGAATTTTCAGATCATCATTAATTATCAGGGGTGAGTCAGTATCGCTTTTATTTTGAAGATTCATAACTGATTTAGCAATTCGCCACCATTTTTCAGGAGGAATAGTTTTATCAATAAGAGAAGATTGTAATTTAGATAGATATTTATTTTTAGCCGCTCGAATTAAGGTAATTACCTGGTTTCGAATAGCTTTAAATTTTTTCCAAGAGGCCTGGGAATTCTGTTGTTTAGCTTTAGAATGCTGACGATTTCTCTGTCTTATTTTCAGTCTAATTCCATTAGTCATCCATATTTTGTCATTAGGTCTAATAGTTACAGTCTTGTTTGGTACAAATTGGTCAATAACAGCTAAAATTTTGTTAGAATATAATTCATTTCATCAATATCACCTACTAACTGAAAATTCCACTCAGTAGAACTAAGAAATTCATTTACTCCATCAAAATTAGTATTTTGGAAATATAAAAGGGTTTTTCTATAAGCAAGTTTCTTAAAAGAATTGAAGTTTAAGTTAGCAGTAATTGGGGAGTGGTCACTACAAGATGGGGGTAGCACATATGTATTAGTAACAAAGTTAACATTATTAGTAACAAGAATATCAAGTGAAGTTGAAGATTGAGGAGTAATCCTGGTAGGTTCAGTAACAGTATTTTGTAGTCCGTATTTTAATAAAAGTCTATAAAAATGAGAGTTTGGACTAAGGTTTAGCATATCTTGATTAATATCTCCAACCAGAATTACTTCTCTTTGTAAATTTTTATGAAATATCACCAGTGGTTGTAGAAATTTCAGATGTGACTAGTTTCGATTTATATCTTGTTTTAAGTTAATATCTCAGCAACCAAAACATAATAAATATTCAGAATAAAAAACCAAAGTACTTTTTCTAACCCAAATATCTTTATTATTGTTATTGTTACATGTAACCTAATAACTAACAAAAACCTATTCCATTTCTAGATAGTAACAACTCCGTACGTACTTGTAGTAATTTGCCAAAACTATGATTTCCCAGAGAAATCTTAAAGGTTGGTGATAGATGCAACTGAGTATGGGAATCACACTAATCGTAATTATGATGTCATTGCGAAATATTGCATTTCTTTATGCAGTATGAATATCGTTCTGTTTTGTGTTTGTTGGTATATGACATGATTAAATTATTGGTAGTTCTCATTCTGAAAACGCGTTTTTACTTAAAAGGACATAGATTTATATTGCACACGTCGTCGATGGAGTTGAAAACCATTTTTACCCTACCGCGTCTCATTGTTTCTCTGTAAATATACCGTCTGTTCTACGGTTTTATTAACAAACTAGTTGTCCTTGGGCACTTTCAGTCCCTAAGATCACTGATGTGTCCAAAGAAATGCATGTAACTGATCTAAGATGCAATTTTATTTATTATTTGGGTATATTGCAGCTAATCATAAATTCGTATCAAGAGGTATTATTCATATGTAGTTTTGTACAAATCCTTGATAATTGCGAGGTTAAATGTTAGTGGTGAACTTGGCAAGCACCCGGTATGTTTTAACAGCAGAACCAGTACAAGGTTCAAATATAAATATAGAATGAAACAAGATTGAGAAATGAAACAATTTTTGAATATGTCATAATTGATTAAAAACTCTGAGGTTACTGCACCTTTCCTCATTCATTTTGGCCAATTGTATTTCCCCAAGTCGACTCCTAGATTTCAACGCTTCAGCAGAAGTGAAGAGTCCGAGAAGACCGAAACAATTATAAAAGGTGATTTCTATCAAAACAGGTGAGATATTTAGCTCCAAATGTATCAGTTAATTATAACATTTATATTTATTAATGGTACAGGAACAATGGGGTCAATGGGGCCACACATGTGTGTGAGCGCGTATGTATGTACCTTATGGTGTATTCTGACAAACATGAAGTATTACGGGTAACACCTGAATTACCTAGGGTAGAACCTGTGCTATACAGAGTGTATAGGCGATAGGGTCATTCGAACTTTTGCAGCCGGACAGTACGCTTGTGGTATTTGCTAGTATTCCTGGTTAGCTTGTTCGTCGCTCTATTATGACTGAAAAAGCGAGTGCGAACCCCTCTCCAATCAACTGTAGCACTGGGGGCTCTTTTCTCCCCACCGTGGGTCACAGCACGGGAGGTGTTGAGGCGTTTTCATTGTTCAGGCAGTATTTGAACAGTAAATTGGATGCTTTAAAGGCGGATTTGGGAGAAGAGGAGGCATTACCTAAAAAGCCAAAGTCGGACAAGTTCCTAGGGAATAGAATACGATTCCAGTTTAACGAGAAGTTGGAAGCGGATGTAGATAAATTACAGAGAAGGCTTGATAAACGTTTTGTTGAATTAGCCTCCGACCTGAACGTGAAGTTGTACCAGAGGAATAAATTGATACGACTTGCTGATAAGTCGCCAGCAGGATGGAAAACTGTGGTGGAGTACATTTCCGATGATCTTGCGTCAGACAGTTAGGACAAGAAACGCATAAACATTATTGAACAGAGGGCGCTGAGGAGTATCAAACTTAAACATGACTCTCGTAAACGCAGTTCTTCAGCTACTTTTCGTAACAACGGTAGTCCATCTACACGCCACGCCCCTATCCTCGCGGCCGCGGGGTCTGCGCTTTTCAACGGGGGACTCTACGAGTGAACGCCCCGCGCACCACTGCCCCTTCAGACCAGTGTTTCTCCTGTGGTGGATTCGGGCATTGGAGGAGGGACTGCGGAAATACAGACAGGAAGGATCTCGACAGCCACAGCAGCAGACTGGACCCGAGTGACGAGATTCATGACAAGTATATATGTACATGTACTTCTCCCTCGTTGTTTGATTTGGATGAACTGAACTTTCAAACAGTTTTTTGAATGTCAGGACAATCGTCAGATTATATCTGTTAAAGATAGATTAAAAAATCATGTTCAGTTTTGTAAAGATATCGGTGCTTAAATAAGGTTATGTAATACCTTTCATTTCGACATCTCCGAAAACGTTTCTAAGAACAACATGTCTGCTATAGGAGAGACTAAATTTGTTAAGCAAGCTATTTTAGTCAGTAGTAAGTGTGTCGTACAGATCCCTTTCCTTCATCACGTATTGAATCCTTTAAGCGTTGCTTACAGCAGTTCTGGTAAGAAAAGGTTGATCTTGGATCTTAGATTGGTTAATTGCATGTTTGGAAAGAAAAGATAAAATTTGAGGATTGGAAATTGGCGTTACAGTATTTCGATCGCGCTACTTACATGTTCAAGTTTGACCTGAAATCCGGTTATTATCATATAGATATTTCGTACAGTCAGCAATTCTTTCTCGGTTTTTCATGGGACGGTAAGTTCTACTGTTTTACTGTCTTGCCTTTCGAGTTATCATCAGCTCCATACAAATTCACTAAGATCCTTAAAGCCCTTGTCAAACACTGGAGATTGAATGGTATTAACATAGTTCTGCACATAGATGACAGTTTATGTTGTAGTCCTGATCAGGTTACTTGTCAGCAGAAACGTGATTTCGTTAGGGACACACTCTGGCGTGCTGGTTTTCTTATTAATACAGAAAAGTCTGTCTGGAGTCCATGCCAGGATATTTCCTGATTGGGTCTTGTCTGGAATTCGTTAGATTTTAGTATTCCTGTACCTACACTAGAGTAAGTTGCTTACCTGCATTAATGTTGTAAGTTTCTCTACCAGTCATGTCATCTAGGCAGTTAGCTAAGGTTACAGGATTAGTAATGTCTTTTAAGCCCGGTATTGGTAATCTCTGTTGTCCTATGACTAGACATTTGATGGTGTTCATGGCCAGGTCTTCTACCTGTATTGGTAAGGTCAATGTCAACAGTAATCAATTCATCACAGAGTTAGTGAATTGGGGCGAGCACATGCATAGTCTGAACGTTAGGTATTTGGCTATTTCTGATGTCCCTAAAGTTATCATGTTTTCTGATGCTAGTTCGTATGCGCACATTCAGTAGATTTGGATAACAGTGTCTGTCACAAAATGTGGACAGATGCTGAGATTTCACGTAGTTCTACTTGGAGGGAAATGAAAGCTATTTCACTGGCCTTACGGTCTTTTGTACCAGTGTTAACGGGTAGGCGCGTGAAGTGGTTTACGGACAATCAAAATTGTTTTTATGTAGTTACCAAGGGTAGTATGAAACCCGATTTACACGAATTCGCGTTAGACATTTTTGAAAGTTGCTCCGCCAGTGATATTACCATAGACTTCGGATGGATACCCAGGGACAGTTATGTACGAGCTGGTGAAATCAGAAACATATTTGACTTCGATGACTGGCGTGTAACTGTGGAGTTTTTTTTCAGTTCATTGATTCGCTCTGGAGTAGGACAGAATCGCCAGTGATGATAACGCTAAACTGAGTCGTTTCAATTCCAAGTTCTGGAACCCTGGTA